GGCTATTTTTTGATTGCAGCTGTCATTGTTGTTTCGGGGGCATTTAATGGATTCGAACCCGCCACCTTAGGTGTATGTGGCTGGCGCCTTAGCCACTTGAGCCACAGGCGCCAAGCCCTAAAAATTATTTTAAAAGACATTTATTTAAATTTTTAAAAGGAGATTTGAGAAACATGAAAACACAATACTTCACAGGCTACTTTACACAATAAAATAGGCAATAATAAGATATCTTTTTGCAAGTCTAAACACTCAGGTATACTAGCAATTTGTAGTGGTGTAACAGCTATGAACAGACAGACTATATTCAAAAAGATATAGCTTATATGACTGCAGGTATGTGAAATACCATGACAAACAACCTACGCGTTTGATGCAGTCAGTCACAAACTTCAATGTGTCACCACCACATATGCAGTCACCCAAAGAGCCATGATCTCAAGAAATTTTATCTTTCACACATACAGATGTACAAAAAGGACAGCTCTTCACTTAATGAGGAAGTTTCATGTTTTCACGTACATGCACAATACCTATACACAAAGTCAATGTTTGATAATGCACCTTTGTGGAGTCAAATTTGCCAAAAATGCATTAAAAAATTAGAAATCTTTAAAAGGCTTTATATAATTTATAAGTCCAATATTGGAAATCATGCAAAGATGAAATACAGTAGAACCTCCACACCTGACCACCTCCTTAAGTTGACCTAATTTTCATAGACCAGATATGGACCACATGTACATATCAGTACAGTAGGCCTAGTTGCTTATGGTGACCATGTCTGTATGCTGACCACTCTGCTACACTCCCTTAGGTGGTCAACTTATAAGTTCTACTGTATATAGCATAGCAAATTATAAAAATAATACTGACAGGGCAGTGGCTGTGGCTCAAAGGAGTAGGGCATTGGCCCCAGATACTGGAGGTGGTGGGTTCAAACCCAGCCCAATCAAAAACTGCAAAAAAACAATAATAATACTGACAATTTAAAATAGTAGGAGGAAAACTTAAAAAATGAGAAAAAACTAAAAAGTCTGACATATGACAAAGGATATTACAGGGCTAGATTATGGGCAATTGCACAGAAGCAGACAATAAGAGCTGGCCGCCTTCATGGTCATTAAATATATTTTGAAGTTTTAAGGCTTACATTGTGATGAATAATTGATTTTTTTTTTAATTTTAGGGCATGCCTCTCCTCAGAGAATATGTACACTTTCATTTTCTATGTGGCACTACTTTTCTTGAAGTTTTTTGGAATTAATATACACCAACATGAGCACTCCCTATTAAATTTTCCCCACTCCTATGCCATGCTTCTATGCTATTTTGGGCACACAGAAATTCACTTTGTATGCACTCATATACAGACTACATACTTGGTGCAAATACCACTGGTGAGTGAAATGCAACACTGTTGTGTGTCTTCTTACCCTACTGGGCACTAATTATTTTCAAACCAATCAGTAACTTCATTGGGTTCTTCGTGAAAATGCAGCTTTAATTATCAAAAGCTCCTGGAATTTCATCAGATGTAACGAGTGCCAATGCAGATAAAATGAGGCATTTTAAAACTGAAGTTGTAGCCAATCCACTCATCTTTATTTTTTGCCAAATGCACCAGGCTGAATGGAAAAAAACTAACTTTATTGGTAACAACTTGAAAATCACTTTAGTAGCCTTGACGGCTACTAATTCTAAATCTCTCGTTGTATTTTGGGGATTCAGTTAGAGGTTAGGAATTTTTTACTTCAAAAATTTTGATCTCTCAGGGTTTCAACATTAGGGACTGTATCTTTTACAATTATGATTAGTAGCAGTGTGACTTGCTTGGACCAAAAGAAGGGAGTGGACATAAAACTGTCAGTTCTAGGCCTGGCCCTTAAAACATTTGGCACCCTCTGCTTTCATCCCTTTGAAATCTCGCCACACGTCAGGAAACTCAGGCTGGACTACTGAAGACTCAGAGACCACATGGAGAGAGAGAAGCCACATGGAGGAGAACTAAGACTTCTCACCTGTGATGACATGAAGGCCTCTGACACGTGAGTGAGGTCATTTTAGAATTTCCAGGCCCAGCTGAATGGAGCTACATGGAGGTCCTTAGTCTACAGGATACACAATAGAAAAACCACCCTACTGACCCAGAAAATCATGAAAAAAACCAACCACCTGCAAATCACTGTTACTTTAAGACACCAAGTTTTGGGTAGTCTATTACAGAAATAGATAAACAGAAACAGATACCTGGAAGAAGAGGGTGCTGTACAAACCCCTGAAACATCCGGTATTGGCTTTGGGACCTGTTAGAGGCTAAAAAAGGCAGGGAGGGAACTGTTAACAGAAGCTGGAAGAGCAGTGGGGAAATTCATATTTGAAGCTTGAGAAAAGACAAACTGTTTTACATAGTGATAAAACTTTTGGCAACGCTGTCACCTGAAGCAACTGGTGAAGACAGGATAGCCAGGAAATCTGTGTATTTGGCTAATGAGGTTTCCAGGGAGAAGAGTGAAAACGCCTACTGGCTTCTTTAACTGCCAATGATGAAGAATCAGAAGAGAGAGCTAAGCTTAATAACCGTCCAGATTTTAAGCAGCATATAAAGAAAGTACTCCCAACTCAAGATTTCCTGAATTAGAAAATAAATTGTTTCTCACTTCTGCCCACTCCAACTGGCAAAGATTCTCAGAGTAAGGGACAGCCTCAGGCCTAAAGTTAAATCTAGGATGCTACCTACCTTAGTCCACTATGTGTAGCTATGACAGAATATCACAGGCTGCATAATTTATAATGAACAGAAATTCACTGGCTCAGAGGGTGGGAAGTCCTCTATCAAGGTGCCAGCATCTGGCAAGGGCCTTCTTGTTACATCTTTAAATGGCAGAAGGCAATGAAGCCAAGGAAGACAGCCTATTTCCCCAAATCCTTTCATTTTAGCATTAAACCCACCCATGAAGTTGGGGCCCTCATGGTGTAATCACCTCCCAATAGCATTATATTGGCAATTAAATTCCAACATGAGTTTTGGAGGGGATAAACACTCAAATCATAGCACTGCCAATAAAATGTGGCCTTAGCATCAATATCAAAACAAGGGTACAACCACAAGACCCTTTATTAGAACCTCAGAAAGGCAGTGCCCCACATAGCCACCTAGCTAGATAAAAGGACTTCTAGAACCTTAAGGGTGTTGTCCACAGCACCCTAACTTGCAGACCAAAGTAAAGAGAGGACTACCTCAAAGAGATTTGCGGTTGTAGACTTCAATAAAAAAAAGATTCATAATTTGATATGTAACAGCTCACTACATTTTTAAGAGTAATGTATCCACATAGACCCAAAAGGACAGAAATACTTCAAAATAAAGAGTTTTGTAGGTCCCCAAATTTCCATAGGCAGGAAGCAGTCTAAGAAAGCTACTCGGCTGCAAATATGAGCTATTTTCCAATCAGCCTACAGAGAGATGCTCAACATCATTTGCCTTTACGGAATATCTGTGTAAACCACAATAAGATACTAATTCACACACAGTGAGATAGCTAAGATGAAAAAAATGTACAATAACAAGTGTTGGCAAAGATGTGGAGAAACTGGAACCATTATTCGTACTGCTAGTGGCAATGTAAAAAGGTGTAGCTGCCTTGGAGAAGTTTGGCAGTTCCTTAAAACGTTAAACATAGAGTTACCATATGACTCACCATCTCTAGTCCCAGACATACATGCAAGAGAACTAAAAATGTATGTCCACACCAAGACTTGCACACAAACAGCAGCAGTATTCTTTTTTTTTTTTTTTTGAGATGGAGCCTCAAGCTGTCCCCCTGGGTAGAGTGCCATGGCATCACACTCACAGCAACCTCCAACTCCTGGGGCTCAAGCGAGTCTCCTGCCTCAGCC